CTGGCGGCTCCGGCAGGTCCGGTGCAGCGGTGCTGTGAAAGTCCACCGCCGTTGCGAGTCTCCGGCTGTAATAATCCACTACCGTCCGCGAGGACCCAGGTCAATAAAAAAATTAAAATCTCCCGTTCATCGCGTCCATTCGCGACCCACCTATCACATCTCTGCGCCCCACACTTTGAGAAACACTGGATTAACCTATGGATTAACCTTCAGCCGCGTTTTTCTCGTTTTGATGCCATTGAACACGACTTTTGATCAGAAACAGCAACAGATAAGACATTTCTCCCGTTTTTGCTCCATAGAGCTCCGTGTTGTGATGTGTGTTTGCTTCCCCTGTCGCGAGTTCTGATCGATCAGTGATGATACTAATACCTCTAGAACAGGGGTTCTCAAAGTGCGGCCCGCGGGCCAATGGCGGCCCTCGGAAATGTTTCTGGCGGCCCGCGATAGTTAATGTGACACGCTGAAATGCATGCATTATATTTTAATCCTCCATGGTTGTATCTAGTAAGAATTAGAATGGAATTTAAGAATGGTAAAACTGCGCCCCCTGGGTTGTCATTCATAAATTATGAATGACAGCTTGTGGAAAGTTTGCTAGACTACTGGTTGCATGGCAACTAGGCATCTCGCGAGTTGCGGTAATTGGTTAGTACAATAAAGAAAGGATTTGTTTTGGAATTATTTTGTGTTCCGTTTTTTCTTGGGCGGCCCTCAATCCAATATTGGGTACCTAAATTGGCCCTCACTCATCAAAACTTTGAGAACCCCTGCTCTAGAATCTGTGGAATCTCAGCTTGCTAGCTAATATCTTGTTTGTGCAGATCCGATAAGTAATAAAGTATTTATACCTAGAGTTCTGTGCTAAGTGCGTTAGCATTTTTTCCGCTCAGGGCTAATTTAGACGCTTCTTGTGAGACTTGTGCTTTGTTTCGGTAAAAATGGTTCGTATCATCAGTTAGCCGAGTTTCTTCCCGTTAAGTGAGTATGACACATTCATAGGTTTTTAAATGTTAAGAAGCCCTGAGATACAGTTTCGTGAAAAAAAAAAGCTTAACAGAATATGTCATGCTTCTCTCCGCTCTGTATCACAATAAAGTGAATATCTTTGGATTTTGAAAACATGTACTTGGAGTTTTAAAAACCGGGATGAAAATGTTTTTATATATTTGATAAATATATGTAATAAATTCCTCTTATCATAGACATAAAAAATATATATAAAAAAATATATATATACTTTAAAAAAATTATTTTTCACTGGCAACTAACAAAGTAGTCCACAGTTTTGCTCGCCGGTTCCCATGTCCCCACAGAATGAGTTTTTCGGCCCCATAAGTAATACATAACCCATACTGTGCCTTACCACAGTATCTGGCACTATATTGGATAGGGCCACCATACTAAATTGTTTTAATGAGCATTTTGTGTCCTGTGGCTCTCTGTTTCATTCTGTTTCTAATTCTGCTTCTGTGAACACCACAGTCGGTGACTCAGAACAATGTGGTCTGGAAAACCCTTTCAGTTTTACTCCTTTTACTGTTGATGTTGTTCGTGAAGTCTTAACCAAGCTAGATCCAACGTAGAACCTTTCTTTTTAAAGATAGCTGCAGATTTTATTGCTCCACCTCTTACTACTCTTTTTAACCTCTCTCTCAGCACGAACAAAATCCCAAAAGTATGGAAGTCAGCTTATGTCCTGCCACTACTAAAAGGAGGGGAGGCCACCTTACAATTATAGACCCATCTCTAAATTGTCAGTTCTGGCCAAGGTTCTTGAACGCCTCGTGAGTGAACAGGTAAAGGTGTTTTTATGTAACAATGACATCCTGTCTAAACATCAGTCAGGCTTCAGAAAGCAACACAGCACCATCACTGCCACAATGAAAGTGGTAAATGATATTACGAGTATTTTAGATAATAAGCAGAGTTGTGCAGCTCTATTTGTTGACCTATCCAAAGCTTTTGATACTGTCGATCATTGCATTTTGAAGCAAAGGCTGGTCAGTATAGGCATGTCCAGCCATGCAGTGGGTTGGTTTGTAAACTACCTCTCTGAAAGGTCCCAATGTGTTCACTTTGATGGGCTGTCTTCTGAGTGGTTAAACATGGTGTACCACAAGGTTCAGTTTTAGGTCCGCTATTATTCTCTATCTATATTAATAGTTTAGGTGAAAATGTCGAAGGAGCAACCTTACATTTTTATGCGGACGATACCGTTATGTACTGTGCAGGTCCCTCGATTAACGAGGCTGTTAATTACAGGCTGTTTTTAACATTATTCAGGCTCAGCTCTCTGAGCTTAAGCTTCTTTTAAATGTGGATAAAACCAAGGTAATGCACTTTTCGAAAGCTAAAGCTAAAAATACACCAGAGGCTGCTTTGGATATTGTAACTACGCAAGGAATACAACTTGAAGTGGTTACCTGTTACAAATACTTGGGTATCTGGCTTGATGACTGTCTCACTTTTAAATTTCATGTCAATAACCTGCTTAAAAAGCTGAGGGTTAGGCTAGGTTTCTTTTTCAGAAACAAGTCCTGTTTCTCGCTTGAGGCCAGGAAAAGGCTCTGTGACCTTTTGACCTGTGCTGGATTATGGTGATTTGTTATATATGAATGCACCTGCCAATTACCTGAGCAAGTTAGATGCTGCGTATCACAGCGCACTGAGATTTTTGACAAATTGTAAAGCACTTACTCATCACTGTACCCTGTATACCAAGGCGGTTATGCCATCACTAACTGTACGGAGGCTCAGTCACTGGTACTCTTTCATTTACAAAGCCATGTTGGATAAACTACCATCTTATATCTGCTCCCTGATCTCTCTGCGAATTGAAAGTACTTATTGCCTGAGATCGCATGCTGTGGTTTTATTAAATGTGCCAAGTGCTAGGACTGTCTTAGGGAAGAAAGCTTTTAGATGTGCAGCTCCACTAACATGGAACAGTCTGCAAAAAGAATGGAAAATTACCAAGCTAGTACCACTACATGTTTTTAAAGCTCGGTTGGATGCTACACAATCAGATGCTGTTGGTACCTGTACTTGTGGTTAAATATGTAAATTGTAATCCCTGTACATTTTGCTGTATGATGTCCTTTTGTTGTTCTGTTGTTTATGTTTTTATGTCTTCTTGTGGAACCTACTGCTGCAGGTCTCCCTTGAAAAAGAGATCATTGATCTCAATGGGATTTTACCTGGATAAATAAAGGTTTTGAATTTAATTGAATAATGAATCATCTTCAGCAGCAGCCCTGACAGTACAGATGTGTTACCTCTCTGTAGAGGCTTCAGCAGCAGGTGGAGGCTCTCTGCTATGGCCACGGGGTCGTCCTGCTCCAGCTGCTCCAGCAGGCCAATCAGAAGCTCTTTGGGTCTGCAGGTCTGAAAACAAAACAAACACTAGTCCATAGTGCAATTTTGATATAAATTCAATTATTTCTACAGCCCTCTGTAACATTGTTTTAAAAGTGCTATATCAATGAAAATCGTACCTACTACGCATCTACACTGTGCTAGTTTGGATAGTGGATCTTATCAAATTATAACTTATGTTTTATCCTATATATTTTATGAACAGACCTGTAGCAGGTGGTTGAAAATGGCTAGGCATTGAGAGAGCTTCTCGCTGTCTTTGTTCATCAGAACCTGGATCAGAGGAGGCAGCAGGTTCCAGCCCATACACCTCACTATCTCCTGCAGAGAGGGGGACAAGAGGAGAGTTAATGCAGTGTGCAACACACACGTGAACAAGTCTAAGTGCTGGAACAGGGATCAGCCTCAGTACCTGGTTCTTCTCATCCAGTACAATGCTGAGGACCTGGGCGCTGTCACCCTCCTCGATGCAGGTCCTTCCAGAGATGGTGAATACGTCATGGTCCTCTGAGGTGTAGCTGTCATCAGGGAGGGCTTGCTGTATTAAAGAAAGACAGGTGAAGGATTAAAAACAAACATGTAAAGAGTTTTTTTGTAGGACATGATAATAAATTCATTTGATATGGTCAAAATGCTTGTTTCCAACTGCTCAATTTGCTGCTTTTATTTGATTGTAGAGTGAATACATTTGAGGTAGGGTGGGCAGTATAACACTAATATATCAATATTGTGCCATAGGACGAGATATCATCTTAGATTTCTGATATTGTCATATTGCATCGTTTCTTACCTGGTTTTTAAAAATACATTATAGTAGAGATGTCATTTTCTGAACTTACTAGACTGTATGTTTATTTGCCTTTACCAACCCATTACATCCACATAACTCATTATAATTCATCAAAAATGTCAGTGTATTTTTTGAAAGCACCACAGTCCACTCTACAATATAGATATTGAAGTTATCCATAGTCCATGCAAAATATGTAAATATTTCATTGGAGAACCCAGACATGAATAGTTGTAAAGTGTGTGTGTGTGCATGTCAGGAGGTGGGTGTGGTGACTCACACATCTCTGGACCACATCGCTGAGCTGCTCCAGAGCCATCCTCTCTGTCTTTGGGTTATCTTCACACAGAAACTCCTCCAACACAAACAGGATGCTTCCTGTCAAAAGTAATGCAAAACATATAATAATCAAGTATAAATCTCTCCTAATCTAAGTGCATACTCCCACAGCTGCATGTGCAAACATTTTGATTGTGATTTGTTAAAGTCAGATAAACAACGTGCCTGCTGTAAACATAGAAGTCTAAAAGAGAATTAATGCCACTGAATACATCTGAATTAGCCTAGCCTTTAGGCATTACAACGTGTTATTGTGCTAGCCTAGCTATACAAACACAGTTAAAACAACACTCCCTGTTTCCGAATATAAAAGTGAAAAACGGAACAAAATGAACAGAAATGTAGATCCCCACCTTAGCACACTACATGTCCAAACAGCCCGGTGACAATACCATGCTAACGCTTCCGGATTAAAGCCATGATTAAAGCGCGAACGGCTGACTTGTCCGTTAGGCTTGCCGTAGAAGGAACTACGTCATATGTCAGAGTTCAAGCTGTAGCAAACAGGAACAACATGGAGACGGGGGAGAGGAGAAGGAGCGAAGGCTCTGCTAAAACTACTAAAAATGGTAGGTTTTCACTAATAATATGTTCTTACTTATCCATATCAGGCTTTCCGAATATGTGTGTATCCTGGCATGTGTCAGAAAGAGTTAAAATATGTATACATGTGTAGTTTCTCAATGACTGGAACACAAGTTCAACAGGCCTTTAGTGTTTTCATCAGTGGTGGAAAGTAACGGAGTACATGTACTCAAGCACTGTACTTAAGTACACAATTAGGGTACTTCGGATTTATTTGAGTATTTTCTATCCGTGCCACTTTATACTTCTACTGCACTATCATTCAAAGGGAAATATTTAGATTTGACTTCACTACATTTATTTTGCAGCTTAAGTTACTAATCTAATGTTTACATATAAAAAACAATAATATATATATATATGTATGTATGTTGATTATAAAAAATAAAAGAGTGAATGCAAATTGTTTTAGTATTTTTAATGTAACAACTTTTTAAAGTTCTAATCTAAAGCGTGAAAATGTTCTGCAGTTCATTTTCCTGATCATACTTATATACTTTGACTTAAGTTCTGATCTCAATTGAGTACTCTTACTTGTAATGGAGTGTGTTTACAGTGTATTATTAGTACTTCTACCTAAGTAGAGGATCTGAATACTTTTTCAATCTCTGATTTGAATAATGTAATGGTGTTGCTGGCAGGGCGGACAGGCGTCAGAACGGCTGCTTCTGAAGAAGAAGCAAGAAGGTGAGAAATAACATATTATTTTCATTTGAAGTCCCTGTTTGGAGGATGCCAGATAGAGTTGAACTTAGTGTTCCTAGAGAGTGTACCTTCTCAGACACTTATCTTTAAGACTGTACTTTGATTGTTTTCTCTACCTCCTCCACTAACCTCTTTTACAGCCAAAATGATAGTGAAACATGTCTTCAGTAAAAGCACTTCCTCTAATGTGTGAACTGTCCTCTGTCAGGAGAGAGTTGGTGAAGGACAAGTTAAGGCAGCAGTATGATCTGGAGAAGAGAGCCCTGAAGATAGTGGAGCGTCTCCTGGAGGACAACGTGACGGAAGACTTCCTGGTTGACTGTGTAAGTATCAACTGAGTTCACTTTTGTACTAAATCAACAGAAACTCCAGCACACAGCTCACCCCTTAATATTCTAGTGTTAGTGAGACATCTACCGGACATGAGCTGCATCTCACTTCGGTTAAATGGATTCCTTGCGTCCCTCACTTGCGTCGTTTCCCTGCGTCTAGTCCCTCCCACCAGGGAAGCATGGAGAGACGCAAGGAAACCACGAGAAGCAGGGAAATGAGTTTTAAGAGCAATGGGACGTCCTTTCCTCCGGAGCGTCACGTGAAGCGACGTCCGTTTGTGATGACGCCGCACAGCTGATCGTCTGACAGCAGCCAGATCAGTGCATGCGCTGCATTGTCCAATCAGTGAGCGATACACAGTAAGGGGGCGGGGCGAGTGTCTGAGGATTTCACCGGAGGATGGTCTGGTAGTTCCTCGATTATCGCTCCTCCGTTATCGCTCCTCGATCCTCGGTCCTCCGGCACAAATAAGGCCACTGGGACGGTACTCAAGATGGCGCAGACAGATCAACTTCCGGTGAGACCGAGACCAAGGAGCGAGGAAATGAAAATAACCGAAGTAAGACGCACCCACTGCCCAAGCTTTGAACAGTATTCCCTGCCATATCATGTGATGTTTCTTCCTGACATCACCCTGCTCCTATGACTCTTATGTCACTGCACATCCACGTGAATGTTGATCTTTTCATGTTCTTTTCACACGGATTTCCATCCGGATGAAATGGGCCTTTTCCTTTGTTGATTATGACATTTCTTCTGTCAAAAACATGTGTCTCTCAACATTTTAAAATATGAACTATGTCGATATCATTAAAAGTGAGGCTTAAACAATTGTGACATTAAAGATAATAGTGCATTGACATAACATTTTAAATGTAATCTCCTCTCAGCTTTGAGGTTTTCTTCCAATACACAGTGAAGTAGTTCATTTCTGATTTAAATGCTATCCTTTAGTCAAAGCCATTATTATGATACATTACATTACATGTCACTTGTTAGACGCTTTTATCCAAAGCGACTTACATACTCAATACTGTGGACAATCCCCACAGGAGCACTTTGGGGTGAAGTGTCTCAGGGACACAACGACATGCTGACTGCAGTGGGGTTTGAACCTGCTCCCCTGATCCCAACACTAACGCTCTATCCACTGCACCACACGCCTCCTATACATATGATACATGACTTGCAGCATATAGTTAGGGTTCTGATTGGGTACATGGTTCAAGCTCTCTACCAGGTTAACTACTGGGAAACAGTCATAAGAGATTACACATGTGGGATTTATTTTGAATGTGTAGTAAGTTATCAACATTAGGAGAAATCTGACTAAAGACACATATGAGCTATTCATGTCAAGGGGAAGTGAAATTCAAATAAACAGTATTGTTGTGTATAAGGGCTGACAACCAAAAGATGAATTGACTTGTATGGACTCAGCAGGGATAACATTCAGAGACCCATACTGCTACATCATTCATTCTATTTTTGAATGATCACCTGGTGCCTGAATTGTTTATTTATTAACCATCAATCTGGTGAATGTTAATGCTCTAAAAATGTCCAAACCCATCACTTCATGCTAAAAGGAAACCTACGCCTTCGGTTAAGACTGACTTTGTATTTGTGTTATGTATTATATTTCGTCAGTCTACTGTTTATGTCATTTTCACTGTCAAATACTGATGTGTAATTGTTTAGCTCTCTCAGTGACAGGCAATATCTCTGAAGTGGTGAAAGCAGTGGACTTTCTCTGTTTTGTATTGTTTTAAATAGTCATATTTGTTTTGTCTCCTTTCTTCACAGGCAAAGTTCATAACTCCTACTAATTACAAAGATGTCGTAGAGGAGAGGTTCATCGCTAAAATGTGTGCTTATCCAATATGTTCGATTAAACTGGGCAAGGTAAGAGCCTTTCACATCAGACTTTACAATCCCATGAGCATTAAACGTCATTGTGTCTCGTGTTCCTAACTGACTCTGCTCATTTATAGATCCCAACTCAAAGGTATCAAATATCGACAAAGACCAATAAGGTGTATGACATCACAGAGCGCAAGGTAAGGGCTGCTTCATGGATTCAATATTCAAATATCCTAAACATTTATTTTGAAAGGAACTGTTAAGAAACTGTTCTTTTTGCACCCCTCTCTTGTGATCAGTGTTATTGCAGTAACTTCTGCTACAAAGCCTCCAAAGAGTTTGATCTCCAGATATCCACTTCACCTCTGTGGCTCAGGCCGCATGAGACGTAAGTGTACTCTTCTATTCATTGATGATTCATTATAATAATCATCTTGTACATACTAAAACATCATTACTGTTTTTCATCACTGACAGTCCTCCAGAAATTAAATTGATGAAGAAAGGAGATGGGTATGTATTTTATTAAATATACTATAGAAACAACTACATTACATGTCATTTGTTAGACGCTTTTATCCAAAGCGACTTACGTACATTCAGTACTGTGGGCAGGAGCAATCTGGGGTGAAGTGTCTCAGGGACACAACGACATGCTGACTGCAGTGGGACTCGAACTTGCTACCTCCTGATTCGAAGTCGAGCACACTTTCCACTGAGCCACAGCCTCCCAACTAGACTTATATTACATAGTTCTTAAGGTGTATAATCCCACATCTTTCAAACAATGTTTAGACCTAAACAATTCTGTCATTTTATTACTATTAATATATTATATGAAGTATTTGATTTGATTCAAGCTCAGCAGATGTTTGCAGCAGCCAAACAATGTCAGGAAAACACAGATTTTTCATTTTAGACTTCTTTATTCAGCATTATTCAACGTACTAAACATCTCCACCTTAAATAAGAGAGAAACAGGCTCAGCAAACATTTCTCATTAGCTCGCAGACCCTCCACCCTATATCCACCAATTAGTGATCAAAAAGCACCGATTTTTTCTTAAGTGAAACAGCTTTTTTCATTGAATGAAGAACAAAATAATCCTTTCTGGGAGAAGCTGACTGAACTGAAAAACTCCCATGATGCTACGCTATTTCACAACACCACCCAACTCTGTGTTTTTAGATTGAGCGACCCATATTGACAAAAAATGCAATATTATGCATTTTTAGTTTTTACATGAAAATATTTGCAACATATCTCAATAGTTTAGAGCAGATTCGACTAACTAATAGACACATTTTGTTTCATTTTCTAAATGTAATATAAGTCTAATCATTCATTCTTACCCATGTCTGTCCAGCGGGAGTTCTGGTGAGGAGGTGAGGCTGAAGGTACAGCGTCTGACAGAGGAAGACATTGAAAATGCTGCTCCCGCCGAGGAGCCCCTCAGCTCTGAGCAGGGTCCTGCAGACGGCCTCCCCCACAGTGAGAGCAGCGACACCGAACAGGAGCAGGACTTTGTCTCCAGCGTGGTGTCCCAGAGGCAGGGACCCAGGGTGCACTGGGGCGACCTGCCTAAACGCACAGATGAAGAGCACAAAGAAGAGAAGGAGAGGAGAAAGAAACGGGAGGGGAAAATAAAACGGGAATCACGAACAGAAGTTGAAACTGATGGTAAAAAACAGCCGTCATCTTTACGCACAGACACACCTCATGTCGAGCAGGCACCAGAGGAAGTAGCCAGTGTGGAAGAGGCTATAGCTAAGCTGAATTTATACAACTTATCTGAGACTCACGCTGCTCCTCCATCTGTTCACTCAACAACAAAAGCACAACACGCAAATCTTTTTGCTTCTCTACCTTGTGAAGACTCAAACAGCTCAACAGAAGGCAAACACCTCCCCTTTTCCACCCTGATCAACAGTAATCAGGATGATACAGCATCGAACATCCAGCCAGGCCTCAACATCACCCAGGTGGGGATGAGCAAGAGAGGTGCTGCCGGGCTTCGAGACCTCTTTAAAAACCACGCTGTTGCTGCTGCCCAACCCGACTCCATCAGGCTCAACCAGCTGGAGAGCCTGAGGAGAACGCTGAAGGAGTGGGGCACCGAGGAGACGTTGAAGTTCCTGTACGGCGCTGACCACTCACACAGCGCAGCTTTCCATGGTGTAAAAGAAGTAGAAGAGGATAAAGAGGAGGAGCTGGACGAAGACGACCTTGAGGATGAGGATGATGATGGGGGGCAGGAGAGACCGTCTGCTGCAGCTCCAGACTACCAGGCGCTGAGGCAGGAGACCCAGCAGGCGGAGATCAGAGTCAGGGAGTTCTATAAAGGCAGCCGGACTCTACCTGAGAAGAAGGAGCAGCAAGGAAACGAGGTGAGGGAAGGAGAGAGGAGGGGTGTTAATGAAGGGTGTTGTTGTGAGAGTCAGTGGCCACATGAAGGCACTGTATGAAACATCTTTGATACTGAAATCACTATGTAACACTTGCGCCTCTATTGGCTAGTGCAGAGGTTCCCAAACTTTTCAGCCCGCGTCCCCCAAAATAACTGTGCCAGAGACTGGCTACCCCCCGCCATGTGAATTGTCAACGGGGGGGGGGGGAGACATTCTACAGATGGCCAGTCCGCCCCTGAAAAATGTCTATGCACACATTATTAATAATAGTAATACAAATAACAGTGTTTCCCATACATCGACATACAAACCCCACAGATCCTCAACGCAACCGGTGTGTCTCACTCATTAAGGCAAGACACGGCAGGCAAAAACACAGTTTTTCATATTTTGTTCTATTTTGATTCCATAACATGTTTTCTTTCAGGCTTTTGGTAAGACAATTTACAAAATACACATTTAGGTGTTTATTTTACTATAGTTTGTCTATTTGCGTCTGTAGATTTCTCCTAAATTCACCAAAAGTTAGCATTCTAACGTAACATAAAGTACCGCGACCAATGTAATCAGAGGTATCGTTGGAAAGCTCCGTCTCTCCTGCACAATCTCATCGGATCCAAATATGGTTCCTTTGTATCAGCAACCAATCGTGAAAGTACAAAGGGGTCTTAAAACAAAAAAACTAAATCTCATTGGCTGGTGTCAATTTCTGACAACGTGATTCGTTCAGATGCGTCACGTGATGTGCTAAAACACTTCCTGGTTTAGCTTTCGCTGGAAATTTAAAATCTCAAAATGGAAAAAGAACAGCGAAAAAAACGTTCACAGAGAAGACTACAACAATTGTCACTTGCACGAAGCAAGGTTAGACAAAAAACAAATGACCCCGAACATGAAATATCTTCACGGAGTGCGTCGATGCGCAAGCTGTCATCCAAAGAACAGGAGGGTTTAGCTAGCGCCTCACTGCAATCTTTAAAGGTTGTTTTCTCAAAATGAGTTTTTTCTCCTATTCTGAGTGATAAATTTCAACTTCAGTAGCACGTAGATACACCAAACCTTCCAGTTATATTCCTATCAATATTATGAAGGTTTTTACAGAAGGGTTTGTTTAAATATCATTCATAGATACAATTATATATACCTAAAAACAAGGCGAAAATTGATATTTTAGGGCTGTTGACAGTATTTTCTGATTCATGGAGTTGTTATGACATTAGGGTCATGCAGAGTGAGATCGCTATCCCTTTAAAGAGCAACTTGCAGGTTAGACGCACCAGTGAATAAATGTGTAGGAAAATCATGTATACACTCGATTTTCAAAAATATATACAGAAATATACACTACAGTGACATCTGGCGTCGTTTTTGTAAGACATTTTTACTTCCGCATAAAAAAAGCCTCCCCATGTGACCTCCCACGTGTGACGTAACATGGGGGAGAGCGGCCGGTCTAACGTATGAATAAACATGGATCACAATGCTAGTTTTGACACAGAAGAGGTTGAAAATATATATTCGAATGCATAGGATTATAATTATGAGCCTGCTATGCGCCCAAGAGACCAGGAGCAGCCAAGGATTAGAAGAAATAACGGCCATCGGTGAGAAATGGAGCTGTGGTGTGAGGAGAACATGTGGAGAACAGGGCAGCTGTCTTGGTGAGTGACTGGTGTTAGCTACACAGTGGCGGAGCAGGGGGGTGGCCAGCTGAATCCTGGTCACCTTATTGGCCACCCCAAACACCCTCACCACGGGGGCCTAAACAATTTTAGAACATTAAGAAAAAAATGTTTAAGTTCATCCTGTTTAAGTTCATCAAGAATTAACATTAATAGGACGTTATATTGATAATGTACTCACTAAACTTACAATTCATTTAACTTTATTTTCTTCCAAAAGTTAATTATCCAAAGCCTCTGTACACCCCCTTCTATTTACATGTAATGGTTCGGTCCTGCCTCCAAACGTGGTGCAGCACCGTGGCACTTTCTAGCAGAGAGTGAGAGCATGTTCGGAGCAGGGATGCTAATACTTACTTGTGAACCATGTCTCAACGACTAACAAAGTCAGGCTTTCAAAAGAGAAAAGAAAGGAGAGAAAGACAAGAGAGAGGGACTAAAGGGCGACAGTATGTCACCCAGTTTTTCAAAGAAAATGTGGGTGTGGTCCATGAGTGGTGGAAATGTGTCTGTTAGCTACACGTAGTCCATTGTAAATAACAATTGTGTTTTTTTTTTTACTAAGATGACATTAAGTACTGTTAATATCTATACAGGTTTTTAATATCACTCCTCTTTTAGCTGACATTTAGTAAATGCAGGTACATTTTTAGCAAGAGGAGCGAAGGGGGGGGGGAGAGAGATGTAATATGGTTTCCTGATAAACGATTTGTTTGATAGGCTTCAGCTGTGGAGAGTATGTGCTGCAGGGAGGTGGATGCACCTCGCACAATGCATCCAGGAACGAAAGCTAGCTCCGGTCCTTTTCCTGTTAGGGAAACTGTGGACTCGATGTCCTGACAGACTCGAGTTTGTGCAACCTGCACAAACTGCATTTCACCATTTTTAATCATGTTGAGCTTGAATGTAAAATTACCGAAAAAATACCAGCTCACTAAACCATAACCGCTCAAACCAACTACAAACTACTACCGCGGATTTGGCAGAAAAGGAGTCCGAGAAAGTTGCTCCCCCATGTGACGTAATATGACGCGTTTGACGTATGACGTAAAAAGAAAAAAGCAGGTTTTAGTAGCAGAGCTCAAAACGGCTCCTTTCCCTCTGAAATCCTGCCCTTATGTCTTGTAAAACATATCAAATCCTGCATTAACTTTTTTAATTGTAATTTTCAGGCAAGGTTAAGCGACGCGTAAATGTAGTAAAAAAAAAAAAACCTGCAAGTTGCTCTTTAATACCTCATTCACACCAACAGCCTCTTAGCTCCGGAATCCGGTTCGTTTCAAGCACCAAAAAATTGTCCGGCCAGAGCAAGAGCACCACATACGTCACGCTTACGTCGAGGCGGGGGCAGAGACAGATCAACTCCTGAACAACAACAAAAAGCCCGCGTTTTATCCAGTTTGTACAACGATGGAGAAACTTAACCAGAGTTTCAGAGTTTCAGTGTTTCTGCCATAGACTGTATATATAAAGGTGTCTGCTCATGGTGAAGCAACGTGTCTGCGTGTTAAGGTGGAACCTGAGCATTCACGTTGATCACCTCTCATTATGAAACTATAAATATTAAACTTTACTTCACGTGTTCATTTGAGAACAGCTGTTACATACCTGGGTGAAGGTTACAGTTCATTTAAATGAAAGATACAACGTTACTCCACACTCATGGTTCAGTCCACCTTAAGAAATAAGACCGACCTCGAAAGCAGTTGTGTTTTAAAAAAACCTTTATTGACACGAGTACACTTTTTTATAAGAATATAACTAAACCACAGAAATGACTCCGGAAAAGCTGCAGATAGAGCCATAAGAAATTAATGCAACTGATTTCATCCGCGTGGTTTGGCTTTATGAAGCAGGTACGCAAACGGTTACGTCATGACGTAAACAATGACGCAACGACGCATTACCAGTCGGACTCTGGGCGGTGTGAAAAGAGCCAGAGCTAAACCGAAGAACTGGTTCTGAACCTGAGTTGCGTTGGTGTGAATGAGGTATAAGAGAGGGGTGTGGCGCGTGGATGTGGGTATGGGAGAGCGAGAGTGAGTGATGCCCCTTTCACACCAACGCGTTTTCAGCTCCGGCTCAGAGCTGGAGCCTGAAAAGTACCGTTTTTTTCCTGTTCACACCGCAGAGGCGCCGCCTCTTAGCTCCGGAATCCGGTTCACTTCCAGCTCCAAAAAATTGTCAGTCTAGAGGCAAGAGCTTCGGAGCTAAGAGGCGGCGTTGCTTACGTCTCTCTTACGTCGAGGCGGGGGCAGGGGCATGGGCGGGATCAGCCTCCTGAACAACAACAAAATGCTTGCGTATGATGTTTTGTTCCAAGTAAAGTCGTCCCTTGTAAAGTCGTCCGATGCCTTCCATTTCGTTTCGTAAGAGGATAACCAAAGCGAACAGCGCTTCAATACAATCGGCCGTTGTTGTTGTCGATGTGTGGGATTTCCGCACGGTTTGGATTTTATGAAGCAGGCACGTAAACGGTGATGTCATGACGCAGCAGCGACAGCTCTGGGCGGTGTGAACAGAGCGGGAGCAGAAAAGGGAAACCGGAGCTGAACCAGAAAAGCTCCCGCTCGGAGCTAGAAAGGGAAAAGCGCTGGTGTGAAAGCCGCATGAGTGAGTGAGCGAGTGAGTGAGCGAGCGAGCTGGGTATATGTTTTCTGGAAGGGAAACGAGGCAGCAGAAAAAGCTTAGGTCTGTGATGTATCTTGTGAAACAGAAGAACTAAATAAATGCAACCCAAGAAGAGCTCGCCTCTCTCCAGTCATTTGATAAAGTGGGTTATTGAACCCGAAACGTGTTGCTTCTGCCCTGGAAGACGACAGAGAGTCATCCCCCCTGTCTCCTCGACTACGCTCTGGGAGCCGACAGGAAAGTTCAACATTGGCGACCACGAAGGGACTGTTCATGTTCAACATAAAGACAGTGGTGAGAACATAAACAGAGTAAATAAACGGTGGAGATAAACCGTGAGATTTGCCGTGCTAATTAGCAAGTTTATGCGGCTGCAAGCTAAGCCAAATGGCGGCCCTAACGTAAACAAGCCGGAGGATTGCTACGAGCTAACAAGCTATTCCAACCCGTTCATGAGTCTAACTGCTACAGAGACACAGGTGGAATTTAAAATGGACAATGTTAATGAAATAAATAAAGTGTTTGGTCGTTTTAACCCTTTCATATGTGACAATGAGCCCAGTCGGCCGAGGTTTTCAAGCACAAACCCTTTTGCTCAAGACTGTGAAATACAAGGCCTAGGCCAACTGTTCTATAGTGCTACACCACAGTTCTGGGGGCATTTCT